AACTTGGTAATAAACTCCTCCTGCTCGCTTGCCCTCCTTAATTTATCCACCATATTCAACATCCACAAAGCACCAAACCTCCCCATATATATTGTATTCGATGTCCTTGGTCCCCATTCGGTCAACCTAACAATCTCGGATTCATTAATAGACACAAAAAACTCCTTTGATTCCACTCCAAATCGAAGATTAAACTCCTTTGTACCAAACATTTCCACATGTCGTTGAAATGGTGCGTCTGACAGTAGAGCTGGGTGCTGGAATGACCTGGGTAGATTGCGCAGATTCTGCCGTCTCCCAGTCGCCGGCGCGTGTGGGTCACGCGCCGCCGGCGCGTGAGATTCACGCGCTGCCCGGAGCGCCGCCCAGAAACGGCGCCACCTTCGCCGGGCTCGGAATGGCCCTTTTTTAGCATATAGCTAATAGCATTCCATCTGTGTCCCAATCCCATGTAACATGTCTCCAATGATGTGAATCTAATTTATCCCATAGTTAGATGAAAAGTGAAAAACAGAACTCTATTTTTAAAAGAAACAATGCAGAGATAGACAAAAACCTAATGTGACTAGAGAAATGCTCAATGACTTGGAACTTAACTTCAAAGATAATTGTGCTAGGTGCATGCTGTTGCATAGTCACAAGACGTTTCGGAACAACCAATTATTAAATTTTAATTCGACCGATAAAAAAATTATTGCTTACATCTTTTATGATCCCGCACTTGGAAAATACTTCAACAACCTGCATGATATTCTATATCAGTCTCTAAATTGAATATAAAGAAAAAATAATTTTTTTTTTTTTTGGGGGGTGGGGGGGACCCTTTATGGCAAAAAAAAGTGCAAACTTCAGCAACCATTACACTAATGCGCTTGTAAAGCTAACCAAGAAAACCAAGGAGAGATAAGCAAATGAACTATAAAAATAATATCATCACTAACCTCGTCATAGGTAACATCGTCAGGCAACCCTGTAACGTATACATGTGTATTTACTTTCAACTCAAACCACGAATCCGGAGGTTTATTAGCTTCCTGTAAAGGCATTAAGATCATAGGATGAAATTGTACAATAGCAAGATTATAAAATCATATTGAATAAAACCCCATCGGATCATCAATGTCTTCAAATGATGTCCATACGTGAAAGATATTCAGAGAACAAAATAATATTTCAAGCTCTTCCTGTTAGAAAATATTTTGTGGTCTCTCAGGTTCCTCATCCATGCCAAACTAAAATCTTATAGGATATAAACTCAATAATCAAAAAATTGATAAAACTGCAGCTTCAATGGTCTCCATCAGGCATCAACCCACTCCAAACACAGCTGCCACCTCTGTCACTTGGCAATCTCCAAAAGCATAATTCCACCTCACACAACCTTCTCTAGAGCGTTGCACACCCAAAAATGTCCACAAAAAATGTATTAGGGCAGAAAATTCTCAAAAAGTCTTCTCTATTTGAAATAAATTGTATTGCACGTAGGAACAGATCTTACAATATGAAACATCATTATTCACAAGATTGACAGCCAAGACAAAATGCTCCACCTCCAACAGCTTCCATCA